AGAGAGAGAGAGAGAGAGAGAGAGAGAGAGAGAGAGAGAGAGAGAGAGAGAAGAGAAGAGAGAGAGAGAGAGAGAGAGAGAGAGAGAGAGAGAGAGAGAGAGAGAGAGAGAGAGAGAGAGAGGAGAGAGAGAGAGAGGGTGGGGAGGAACGAGGAGAGAGAGAGAGAGAAAGAGAGAGAGGGTGGGGAGGAACGAGGAGAGAGAGAGAGAGAGAGAGAGAGAGAGGGTGGGGAGGAACGAGGAGAGAGAGAGAGAAAGCTTACATAAACAGTTGCATCTTTCTTTCTATATTCATCTATGCTGTTCCTTCTACCTACCTCTGTCTGTCTACCCCTTTGTCTCTGTCTCTCTATCTATCAACCTATCTATCTATCTATCTATCAACCTATCTATCTATCCATCTATCTATCTATCTGTCTATCTATCAGCCTCCCCCATGAACTCTCTCTCCCACCTACTGGTGCAATAACCCTCCCTATCCAGCGCCCCCCCCCACCCCCACCCATACCCCGAGGTTGCAAGGCGGCATATTTGAATAGAAAGTCTCTCTCTCTCTCTCTTTCTCTCTCTCCTCTCTCTCTCTCTCTCTCTCTCTCTCTCTCTCTCTCTCTCTCTCTCTCTCTCTCTCTCTCTCTCTCTCTCTCCTCTCTCTCTCTCTCTCTCCTCTCTCTCTCTCTCTCTCTCTCTCTCTCTCTCTCTCTCTCTCCTCTCTCTCTCTCTCTCTCTCTCTCTCTCCTCTCTCTCTCTCTCTCTCTCTCTCTCTCTCTCTCTCTCTCTCTCTCTCTCTCTTCTCTCTCTCCCTCTCTCTCTCTCTCTCTCTCTCTCTCTCTCTCTCTCTCTCTCTCTCTCTCTCTCTCTCTCTCTCTCTCTCTGTGTCTATCTATCTGTCTATCTATCTATCTATTCTCTTGAGACTGCTTCTTCGTTTTCGTGAGTGGGGGAGGAGGGGGGGAGGGAGTAGTGTGTGTGGTGTTATGAATGGAGAAAAATGGAAAAAACAGAGTAGAACAAGGGGAAAGGAAGGAAAGGAAGGAGAAAGAGAGAGAGAGAGAGAGAGAGAGAGAGAGAGAGAGAGAGAGAGAGAGAGAGAGAGAGAGAGAGAGAGAGAGAGAGAGAGAGAGAGAGAGGGAGAGAGAGAGAGAGAGAGAGAGAGAGAGAGAGAGAGAGAGAGAGAGAGAGAGAGAGAGAGAGAGAGAGAGAGAGAGAGAGAGAGAGAGAGAGAGGGAGAAAGAGAGAAAGAGAGACAGAGAGAGAAAGAGAGAAAGAGAGAGAGATAGAAAGAAAGAGCGAGAGAGAGAGATAAAGAAAGAAAAAGAGAGAAAGAAAGAGAGACAAAGAAAGAGCGAGAGAGAGAGATAAAGAAAGAAAAAGAGAGAAAGAAAGAGAAACAAAAACAAAAAAAAAACAGAAAAAGAGACAGAGAAACGAAAGAAATAACGAAAAAGAAAAAAAATCCCAAAGCAAAGAAATAACAAATCAAACTCCATCTTAATTAATCAAATTCCTTTAATAATGAACTCCCCCAAAAGACGTGATCGTCAGCCACGCATCTCAAATGGCTTTCGAAAGTCTCTGGGTGGAAAGCTTATAAAAGTCAATCTCTCGACATAAAAAGCTTCTGGAAAAGATAAAAAAGGGAAAGAAAAAGAAAGAAAAGGAAGATAAGAGAAAGAGGGAACGAAAAAAAAAAGAAGAAGAAAAAGAGACAAATAAAAGAACGAACGAAAGAAAACAATCATAAGAAAAGAAAGTCAAATAAGGAAGAGAATGAAACGAAATTAAAGAAACGTTAAAGAATAATAAAATGAAATAGAAAAAAAGAGAAGATAAGGAAATGAGACGAGAAAAAGACATACATCCAGCTAACTAGCCTATCTCTGGCTCGCGGCGGGAAAATTCCAGAGCATCTGATGCCTCTCCCTCTCGTCGAGCGAAAACGTGCTCGTTATAAGCGCTCGAAAGGTGCTCGTTAGAGAGTTTTTGTTAGAAAGGGTGTTCGCTAGGAGAGTGGTCGCTAGAATAGAAACGCGTTCGTTAGAGTTTTTTTTTGTTTGTTTTTTGTTAGAAAGGTGTGTTCGTTAGAGGATGTTCGTGAGAGGATTTTTGTTGGGAAGGTGTTTGTTAAATGCGATCATTTTGTAATGTTTCGCAACTTTTTTTTTTTTTTTTTTACCGAATGACACAATTTAGAAAATATACCTTCAAATTTACTTTCAATATACTCAAGCGTTATACTTTCTACATACTCGTTATTATCTAATCTCACACCTATTATCAACCTAAAACTTCGTAATAAAAAAAACACCCTTAACTCTAGAAAAAAAATCAACCCCATGAAACGTCTTCATATTCCCCAAATGGACCTCCGCAGGTTCCTCGAAGGCCTCAACGCAAGCGGCAGTCCCTTTGCGGCGGCGGCGGCGAGCGGGTAGCTGCGGTCGAGAGCCGTCCGTTCGCTCCCCCGCTCTCCCGCGCGCCCGCAATGCAACATTACGGTTGCAGAGGATCACGTCAGGGTTGTGCAACAGAGCCCCGGTTGCGACTTATGGAACCGCAGTCTTGGGTCTCTTCGTTTTTCCCGATTCCCCTTCTTCTTGGACTCTCTTTTGCCTCTCTCTTCGTTCTCTCTCTCCTCTGTATTCGTCCATCTGCCTCTCCGGCATATACATACATATATATATATATATATATATATATGTATGTATATATATATGTATATATGTATATATATATATGTATATATGTATATATGTATATATATATATATATATATATATATATATATATATATATATATATATATATATATATATATATATATATGTATATGTGTATATATATATATATATATGTATATATGTATATATGCATATGTGTATATATATATATATATATATATATATATATATATATATATATATATATATATATACATATATATATATATATATATATATATATATATATATATATATATATATATATATATATATATATATATATATCTGTGTGTGTGTGTCTGTGTGTATGTGTGTTTGTTTACCTATCTATCTACATATCCATCTGTCAATATATTTATCTAAATATCTACCCATGTATCTATGTACCTATCTATCTACCTATCTTCCAATCTATCAATCTCTCTATCTCTATCAATCTATATACTACCTTCTTATCCAACTCTCCATCTCCCTATCTCCCCCTCTCCTTTTCTTTTTAAAAAACTGAAACAAACACAACCAAACTCTAAAAATTATGAAGGTACAAAAAACACACAATCTATAAAAAGACTCGGGACGACCAGACTTCCTTCAAGACAGCAAAGAGTGTCATATGACAGTTCCGGGGTAAGGAGCGGTCGTGGCAGGAAGGCGGAGGGGGAGGGGGTGAAGGCAGGGGCTGGGGAGGGGGTGGGGGGTGGGGTGTCTAGTGACGCAATGGAAGGGGAAGTGTTAAAGGTGTAGTCATCTCCCCCTCCCCCCCCCTTTCCCCCTCCTTCCCTCCTCCTCCCTACCTTTATTAACACACATTGATTCGCCTTTCTCTTCTCTATTTTTGTCCTGTCGTCTAAAATGAATAAATGAATAGATAAATAAAGAAAGAAAAGAAAAAAATGTAGAATATGATTTTGCTAGTTGGTATAGTATGATAAACGACAGTGTGTATATATAATATATACACAGATATATATATACATGCATGCACGCTAGAGACTGTGTGTGTGTGTGTGTGTGTGTGTGTGTGTGTGTGTGTGTGTGTGTGTGTGTGTGTGTGTGTGTGTGTGTGTGTGTGTGTGTGTGTGTGTGTGCGTGCGTGCGTGCGTGCGTGCGTGTGTGTGTGTGTGTGTGTACGTATGCATGTGCGTGTACCAATCTGCTCCGTGAAAAAGACGGTATAATGATAATAACCATAATAACACAGACGGTAAAGACGGCGTGGAATGCAAAAGAGACGAGAGAAAGAGAGATGGAAACTCAGAAATTACTCACATGTCACTCATAAGGAAGTGGCAATAGCAAGAGAGTAAATTGCAAGTTGACAAACGGAAGGAATTACTTAAAATAAAAAAAGGAAAAGTTCCTCTCGCTCGCTCGCTTGCCTCACTTCCCTGCAACGCCTCATTGCAAAAATATTGCAACTTACACACTTAAAAAGGAATTAAGTAAAACAAAAAAGTAGAAGAAATACACGAAAAATGTTACAGAGCTTTCAATTTTTTGTTCTTATTTTTAGTATCGACACAAAATTGCTTCCATTCTCCCAAAGCACAAAATGTGAAACCTTTCCCCTTTCCCCCCTCTTCCCTTTCCCCTTTCCCCTCCCCTTCCCCTCCCTCTTCCCTTCCCCTTCCCCTTTCCCTCTCCCTTCCCTTCCGTTCCCTCTTCCCCATCCTCTCCCTTCCCCTCTCCCTCCCCTCCTCTTTCCCCTCCTTATCCCCCTCCCCTCCCTCCCTCCTTCCCCTCCCCTCCCTCCCCCCTTCCCCTCCCCTCCCTTCCCCCTTCCCTTCCCCTCCCTCCCCCCTTCCCCTCCCCTCCCCTTTTCCTTCCGTCCTCTTCAATTTCCCTCCCCCTTCCCCTCCCCTCCCTCTCCTTTCCCCTACACCCCCACCCCCTTTCAACTATTGAAAGTGGTTCAATGAAAGGTCTGTTTGTTGTATTTTTTTCTTTCTTTGTTTATTTATTTCCCTCTTTACTTACTTCCTTACTTATGCACTTTAAGGTTTTCGTATTCTTAAAAGGGAATTCCGTTGTGATATGTTTTTTTTTTCACAAACCACTAAATCTATTCTTACGCCATAATCGTCTTCATTCTGAACAGGGAATCAGCATCACCATATCCAACATAATTTTTTTCTTTATTATCACTATTCCCTCTTTTATCTAGATTTTTCCTCTCCTCCTATTTTACTTAATTTCACTTTTCCTTCTATTTTCCTTTTTTTTAGACAGTCTTCCCTAATATTCCTTCAATTAATCATTACGGATAAAGGTAACACTTAC